AGGGCTACTACCACCCTTAATATTAAAGAAAATTTTAACTTGTGACAACAAAGACAACAAATACATTAGAAACTTGGGCAAAAGACATGAACAGAGAGTGCGAAACTTGGGCAAAAGACATAAACAGATAGTGCGCATATACACATACACCAAGATGTACAAATAGCCCTTAAAAATATAAAAAGATGCTCAACTTTACTCATAATCAAAGACATGCAAGTTAAAACTACTGTTGCTGAGGCTGTGGGGAAACAGCTACTCATTAACTACTGGTGGGAATAGAAAATGGTACAGTCCTTTTGGAGGGGGATTCAGGAATATCTAACAACAGCAACAAAAAAAATATGCATTTTCCCTTGGCCCAGCAATCCTGCTCCTATGAATTTATTTTGAAGATACACCTCCATAATATGGAAAAAACACTTGCATATACACCAGGTTCTCTATTGAGAGTTTTTTTGTAATAGTAAAATTTGAGAAATAACTGCCATTAGCTGAATAAACTATGATACATAGAGTACTATAGAAAATAACTAGGAAAATCTTCATGAACTGAGTAGTGATTTTTCAGAATATATTGTTAAACTAGCAAAATATATCAAGGCAATTCATATTAGCATATTAAGGAGAAAAATCTCATGATCTTCTCCATAGACACAGAAACAGTTTTCAATTAAATTCTAAATCCATTTTTGATTTTATAAAATTTTTAGCAGACTGAGAACAGAACATTCTTAATCTGATAAAAGGTAGTTACATGACACTAAGACCCAAAATCATATTTATTGGTAAAATTGAAAGCTTTCCTTTTCAGATCAGGAAGAAAACAAGGGTGCTTATTTAGATCAGGAAGAAAACAACGGTGCTTGCTATTACTGCTTTCATCAACATTGTTTTGGAAGTCCTAGCCAGTGCACTAGGCATGAAAAAGAAATAAAATATAAAAATCAGGGGGGAAAACCCTTCTCTTTATTTGCAGATGTTATGAATATGTATATAGAACATGCAAAAGAACGTATAGACAAATTATTACTATTAATAAGAGAGTATGGTTCCTGGATATAAAATTTGTACATAAGAATTGATTCTGTCTCTGTAAACAAGCAACAATTGCTCAGAAAATGAAATATTATTTATAATAGTGTCATAAAATATCATGTACCTTATAATAAATCCAAGAAAAGAAATGTAAGACTTTTGTGATGAAAATAATAAAACTTTATTGAGGGAAATTAAGAAGTCTTTAAAAAATGAAGAGCTAGGGCCGGCCCGTGGCTCACTCGGTAGAGTGCGGTGCTGATAACACCAAGGCCACGGG